TATGAAGATGATCTTTTATCTTCTAGCTTTTGAGGATCACAATCCTCGCAAGAAATTAATGTCCTGACTCCAAAAAGAACAAGACTCACAATCTAATGTTGACTAAAGAACAAGATCGAAGTCATAGATTCAATCAGTGATCCCCATGAAAAGAAAGCTTACTTAGCACAATTAAAATCATCCTTGGAAACCAGTTCTTCTAAATCTAAAGAGTTGTTGGTTCCTAATAAGTTTAATCTTAAAGATACTCTTAAAAAACTAGAAAAGAGTATTACTGTCAAACCTATAACTGTCCAAGATCTTCAGTATGAGATCAATATTCTCAAAACTGAAGTTAAACAAATCAAAGAACAACAACAAACTCATCAGAACATCCTTCTTCAATTACAAAATGAAGAATCAACAGGAACGAGTATGGAAAATACTCTGTCTAAACCAGATAAAGATAAAAATCTTAAAGACGAAGAATTTTTAGGATTAATTAATCAATTAACAATTCAAAAATTCTATATCCCAATTAAACTCAATGTAGGTAACTTTGACCTTGAAATTGAAGCTCTGTTTGACACAGGGGCAGATTCGAACTGCATTCAAGAAGGTCTAATTCCTACTAAATATTTTGAAAAGACTTCTGAACGGCTTAGTACTACTAGTGGTTCAAAACTTCAGGTTAATTATAAACTTCCTAAAGCAATCATTGAAAATGATAATTTAAAAGTTGAAACACCGTTTCTCCTTGTTAAAAACCTCAAAAATGGAGTTATTCTTGGAACTCCGTTCATCAAATCTCTTTTCCTCTAACTATCACAGATGAGGGTATAATTACTTATCATTTGGACAAACCAATTGTTTTTAAATTTCTTAAGAAACCCATCATAAGAGATTTAAATTTTTTCCATTACAAACAAAAACAAATCAATTTCCTTAAAGAAGAAATTTCTTTTAAGAATATTGAAAATCAGTTAAAGCAGCCTGAAGTTCAACAAAAGATCAAAGTTTTGCTTGAACAAATCCAAAATACAATCTGTTCTGATCTTCCGAATGCTTTTTGGCAAAGGAAAAAACATATCGTAGATCTTCCCTATGAAAAGGATTTTAATGAAAGGCAAATCCCAACCAAAGCTCGTCCAATTCAAATGAGTGGTGAACTTCTTGCCTTTTGTCAAAAAGAAATTGTTGATCTCCTTGCTAAAGGTCTCATCAGGAAGAGCAAGAGTCCTTGGTCTTGTTCTGCCTTCCATGTCAATAAGCAATCTGAGATTGAGCGTGGAACTCCACGTTTAGTTACCAATTACAAACCTCTTAATCAAGCTCTTCAATGGATTCGGTATCCGATTCCAAATAAGAAAGATCTTCTCAATCATTTGTATTCAGCAAAAATCTTTTCTAAATTTGACATGAAATCTGGGTTTTGGCAAATCCAGCTCAATGACAATGAATGTTACAAGACAGTTTTTACTGTTTCGTTTGGTCAATACGAATGGAAGGTAATGCCTTTTGGACTGAAGAATGCTCCCTCTGAATTTTAGAGAATCATGAATGATATCTTCAATCCATACTCAACTTTCACTATCGTCTACATTGATGATGTTCTTGTCTTTTCTCAATCTATTGATCAACATTTTAAACATCTTCATATTTTTGTAGATGTAATTAAGAAAAGTGGTTTAGCTCTTTCTAAATCAAAGATCAATCTTTTTCAAACAAAAATCAGGTTCCTCGGTCATACTATTTATCAAGGGACTATTACTCCAATTTGTAGAGCTATTGAATTTGCTGACAAATTTCCCAATCAAATTATTGATAAAACTCAATTACAAAGATTTCTTGGTTGTTTAAATTATGTAGCTGAGTTCTTTTCTCAGCTTAATAATCTAATCAAGCCTCTCCATAATCGTCTTAAGAAAGATCCTCCTCCCTGGACTGATGTTCATACTGACGTAGTCAAACAGGTCAAAGCTAAGGTAAAGGAACTTCCTTGTCTTTATCTTCCCAATCCTCAGGCTTTCAAAATTGTTGAAACTGATGCCTCTGACATAGGTTATGGTGGCATTCTTAAACAGAGAGTCTCAGACAAAGAGCATATCATTGCATACACTTCAAAACATTGGAATTCAGCACAGCAAAAGTATTCCACTGTCAAAAAAGAAGTTTTAGCAATTGTTTTATGTATTTCAAAATTTCAATCTGATTTATTAAATCAAAAGTTTTTAATCTGCGTTGATTGCAAATCTGCAAAAGACATTTTACAAAAGGATGTAAAGAATCTAGCATCTAAACAAATTTTTGCTAGATGGCAAGCAATCTTAAGTGTTTTTGATTTTGAAATTGAATATCTCAAAGGCACCTCAAACTCTCTCCCTGATTATCTCACTCGTGAATTTCTGCAGGGAAGATAAACAGTGTCCTGTCATGCCGAAATCGGTAAAATCAACCTCTTCTAAAGAGAGGAAATGAAAGCTAATCCTGGCTGGGTTAGCTAAAAAATTAGAAAAAACTGGGTCTCCAGCCCAACAACAATCTGGGTCATCTACCCAACCCCAAACTGGGTCATCTACCCAAAGAGTTGAGGATACTTCCTCTTCTAAACAATCCAAAGCAGACTATGCAATGCCAATCCAAACACTTCAAGCCTTCCAAGACCAAGGTTTGACCCATCTACCAAAGAAAACCTGGGCTGAAATAGCTTCAGAAGATGAACAGGAAGAAAGTCTTTCTGTTTTGATTGATAACCTAAAAACCAAGCAGATCTCTAACCGTCCAAACAGGGCCCTAGAAATCCAACCCAAACCTATTTCTACCCAGAAACCAAAACCTTAAACACCATAAGTCTCAAAGAACAAGTTTCTAGACGTAATCCAAATGGAACCATCCTACTGGGATAATAAACCAACTAAGGTTCCTGTGAAGATCTTCCCCAAAGACTTCAAAGGACGACAATTTCATTTCAAACCACATTCTCCAACTAAATCCCAAAAATTTTATGAGTTTATTCTACTTGATTCAAACTCTATTTCCATCAAACACTATAAGAGTCCAAAAGACCCTGAGTTTATTACTCATTCAACCATCCAGATTCTCAAGGTAATCACCCCAGCAGAATATGGAAATCCAAATAAAATAACCAAATTTTCCCAGCCTTATGATCCAATTGGATATAATTATTGGGACTATGAATTAGCCTGGATCAATGTCTTCTTCATGCAAAATAAAGAAAACAAACATTCATGGTTAATTTACTTTAAGCAAAATATCCAATATAATTTCCCGCAATGGTTTAATAAATGGTGGGATTATTTTGGACCAATCCTTGATATCCTTCCTCCACAAGTCTTTGAAGGAATGACAATCTTTTCCAAAAAATTCGACAATCTAGCAGATCCCTTTCCAATAGATCTGCATTTTTTCTCAAAGTTCTCTCTGGCATGGATATTTTCATGGCAGTACAATTACGGTGAGAAAACTGGCATCAGACTACCATTACTCAAGAGACAAGCTTTTGTTAAATGGTGGATAGAATTTGATGCTTCAAGAGCTTACCCAGAAAATGTCAAGCTCTGGTTTAAAAAACATCCAAAAAACATCAAGCCAGCTGATCCAGAAACCTCCCTTTTCTTGAATCAAAAGGCTCAAATCACAGCAGCATTAGCAGCATCAACCAGAAAAGAAAATTTTGCAAAAAATTTGCAAGGTATTCTTCAATTACTCCAAGAAGAAGCTGAAAATTCTAAACAGAAGACAGGTTCTTCATCTCCTTCTATCTCTTCTACAGCAGAAGACTTCTACCAAAATGAGGATGATTGTTTTGGAATCAACTTAGCAGAAGATTGTTGAAGAAAAACATTGTAGTGACGCTGATGGAAAAATGACATGAGCATGATGTCAGCAGAAGGTGACGCATACAGTGACGTAATCAAAGTGTCGGCAGAAACTGTAGAATCACGAGGCAGTTACTGTGCACTCAGACTTGCACTGTTGAAACAGTTCCGGTTTCATGACCTGTACTGTAGAAATAGTGTTTTTTAGTCTATATATAGGATTTCTTCAGATTGTTGAAGGCATCCTTTTATTAGCTGAGTTTAGAGAGATAGTCTAGAGAGAGAGACTGCGAGGTACTTCTGAGTTTTCTCTTCTTCTCTGTTTTCTCTTTAATCTTTCAATCTGTAACTGTAATCTCAATCTTTATGTTTTGAATAAAAGTTTTATTTCATATCTGCTTATGTAATGAACTCTTCTCTTCTCCATCCTTCCACCCAAGTTTGACTTCGGCCTACCGTATACAGCTTGGGTTCTCACCTTAAATTTATTTATGCCTTTAAATTCTGCATTTTAATTGATTGTCTATATTCATGTAGTAGTCTGTCTACTTTCTTGCTTTCCATTTCTGCTTTAGTTTACTTCATTTCCCTCCTCACACTTCCGGAACCCACTGGAAGTAGGAATATATGGATAGATCTAAATTATCTGTTATTTATCTGAGCTTTATGTTATATATATATATGGTGTGACAACCAAATAATGTTACTTCCAATGGTACTATCATATCTTAACCGTTGATTTCCACCAATCAATGGTTATCATTTATTGCGAATTAATAATTAATTAATGAGTTTGATTTGAAAAATGATAACCGTTGATTGCGGAAATCAACGGTTAAGATGTAGTAGTAACATTGGTAGTAACATTATTTGGTTGTCACAATATCCTATCCCTATATATATATATATATATATATATATATATATATATATATATATATATAGGGTTTTATAAGAGTTATGTTGTAGGAAAAATGATTGTGTAATGTTATAGAGATTCGTTTTGCGTGCCTTAATTTTTTATTTATTTTTTTGTTTTAAAAAGTGTGGGCCCCACAAAATGTTATGAGAGTAGAAAAGTTTGTTGTGTTGTGTTAAAGGATAAAAGTAAAACCCATATATATATATATATAATGTGACCGTATCTAACATTTTATGCGGTCATTTAGAAGCGGTGTCATTTTGCAAATGAATGACAACAATACCTTATCCCCATCTCGTTCCCACGTATCAGTCTTTGTCTTTTTCCCCACCGCCCTTCCAGCAAGCGACACCGCCACACACCCCAACCTGAACTCGCTCTCCACAAAGAGATTCCCACTCTGATTCCTGCCGCGATCTTGAAGAAGGAAAAAAAAATAGTGTTCATTTGAACCATTATGGTGGGGTATTTTTCTGATGGATTAGTTTAGTGAGGTAAGGACCGTGTTAGGTTAGTTCTCTTGGTCTTTTTTTTCTTAACAAAATTATTTTTCTCTCTTTAGATTTGTTTTATTTATATATTTTTCTTTAAACGTTTGTTCCTTCATTCTCTAATGTGTTAAGCTTTCATCTACTGCATTTTGAGTTAGTTAAGATTTTTTTTAATGGCATGTAAATTTACTTTTACGATTTTTCTTTACTTTTACGATTTTTTTAAGCCTATCTATTTGTTTTGATTTGCAGTATGGCGTTCTCCGTGTGACTGTATTGGGCTGTTAGGCACCAGGAGATATTATGAGAGATAACATAAGAGGATTTCGATGGTTGAACTGAGTTTAAGGTTCTCAGTCTACTTGTTCTTAGTTGTTGCAGTAGTTGTCTAACATGTATAGCCGCAACATTTGCGTGCATTTTATTTTTGCACTTTTTTTTCTTTTGCAGCTACTATCTTATATATCCTATCAACTTGGTTATTATTCATTACAAGAAAATAATATTTTTCTGTTATTAGAAGAAGTTACAATGTAAATTTTTTGCATATAGATTGGGTAATGTGGTTTCAATATTACACCTTTAAAGAATTGAGGTTGCTGTGTGTCAACGTAAATGAATATTTCTTTTCCAGTTATTCTTATATTTTACTAATGAATTGAGGTTGCTGTGTGTCAATTGATGTAAATATTGTACAGGCTATTATTCAATTTTTTCACATCTTTGTAATGGATCACTCCCAAATAACAACTATTGAAGACATTGACATAAGTGGAAGTTTAGTATATGATGATGATGTTGATTTGGAGAAAGACAATGATGAATTCGGAGAAGATGATCAGTGTAAAATCATGGAAGATGAAGATGGTGATTATGGTGAAGATAATATACAAGAAATTGTGGGAGATGATGATAGTGGATTGAGTGAGGCCCCAATTTTAGGGAGAGTCTTTAAGATAGCAGAGGAAGCTTATGGTATCTATAATGATTATGCACAAGGTAAGGGATTTGGAATACGTAAGCATTACACTAGCAGGAATATGAAAACACAACAAATATATAGGTGGAATTATGTGTGCTCAAAGCAAGGTGTCAAGAGACAAAATGATAAAAGAGTTGGTGTTCACAATGTCAAAAGGCGAAGAGATTCAAGGACAAATTGTTCAGCGATGTTACAAATAAAGTTAGTGGATGGATTATGGATCGTGGAGAAGTTCAATGATGCACATAATCATCCATTGATTTTGACTCCTTCAAAGGTGAATAAGTTTCCTTCTCATAGTGATTTACGACGCTCAAATTTCACTAAATCACTTGTTACTAAGCTTTTTGAGGAGGGTTTAACGTCATCAAAAATTTCAAAGGTGGTGAATGCTATCAACCAAGAAGTTAATATTAATCCTGTTCAAGTCAGCACTATTATATCAGGACAAAGAAAGAATAATATAGGACGAGAATGTCAAGGCATCATCAAACACTTTCAAAGGAAGTCCGCTCTTGATGGATCTTTTTATTTTGATTTGCATTTGGCAGAAGATGGTACACTAAGAAGCATTTTTTGGGCTGATGGCAGGTCGAGAGCTGCATATGCTCAATTTGGTAAAGTCCTTGTTTTTGACGTGACTTATAAAACGAACAAGTTCAAGTTTCCTTTTGCCCCTTTTGTGGGGGTTAATCACCACGGGCAATCAATTTTATTTGCTGCAGCTTTGTTAGAAGATGAAACAGAGGCAACATTTACATGGCTGTTTGAACAGTTTTGGACATGTATGTTTGACAAGTATCCTATTGCTATTATCACTGATCAAGACAAAGCTATGGGAAAAGCAATTGCTAATATATTTCCAAATGCACGACACTGTTTTTGTGCATGACACATAAAAAAACATGTTATGAAGCATAGTCAAGCATTGCGCGTACAATTTAAAGAGAGTTTTGATATTGACTTCCAAGAGTGGTACAAAAGTCGAGACATTGATGAGTTTGAAGGCAAGTGGGAAGCATTGAGGACTACATATGATATTAAAGCAGGTAGTTGGTTGGCTAACATGTATGATTCACGTCATCACTGGGCAAAGGCATACTTGAAAGATACTTTTTTTTGCTGGAATGACCACAAGTGGCCGAAGTGAGAGCATCAATGCATTTTTTGATGGATACGTCAACTCTAACACGATGTTAAATGATTTTGTTACCCAATATGACAAAGCAATCAAGTCTAGGAGGGATGCAGAAGAAGATGAGGATTTCAAAACTAGAAATACAAAAGCAATTTTGGAGACTAATCATCCAATTGAAGAAATAGCTGGAGAACGCTACACAAGAAAATTATTTGAGATCTTTAAAAGGTAGTGGAAGGCTGCCATACTTGATTACTTTCATGAAAAGATTTCATCACAACAAAATTTGATCGAGTATAGGGTGGGGTCTCATGAAGTTGATAAAAAGTGGTGGGCAATTGTCGACTGTCATTTGACTGAAACATTCACAACTCATTGTTCGTGTGAAAAATTTGAGACTATGGAAATTTTGTGCAAACATATTTTATACATCGTGAAGAAGAAACAAATAATGACCTTACCTGAAAAATATATTTTGTCTAGATGGACAATGAATGCAAGCTATAAGGCTAATAATCTTGTAGGTGTTCATGCAGAAACATCTACTAATGAAGTTAGTGCATTGTCTTTGTGGTTGGTTCACTCCAAATTCAATATTGTTGTTTTCGAAGCAAAAGATTCTATTTTTGAGATTAGAATGCTTGAAGCTATGATTGCTGAATTTCTACAACGGCAATTGGAAAGAAAGAAAGAAAAAACTAAAAATGAACCAACTCCTCAAACTGTTCCTTCACCAATTCCTAGTATTGTTTCTCAAGTTTCACTCATTAATGATGTGCGTGATCCCACCCAACTAATTAGAACTAAGGGGCGTCCAAGGGTTGCTTCACGTATAAAATCGAGCATAGAAATGTTGGCAAAACAACAAAGGACTTGCAGTTGCTGTCAAGGAAAAGGTCATTATAAAACTGGTTGTCAGAAGCAAAAGGTATATGTGAAGTTGATGTTTGTGTGAAGTTGATGTTCGTGTTTGACTTTTTAAACTCGGGGTCAAATAATGTATGTTTTATTTGTAGATGGATATTGCAAGAGATAAGCAAAAGGAGTAGAAATTATTGTTCATATTTTCATGGTTTCATTTTGGTAAGCACTGATTGATTTATCTATCTATTTAATATTTATTTTTAAGTATAACATTTATTTTTTGCTAGATTTTGTATTGTGCTGTAGGAAAATCTAAAGCTCGGGACCTGCTTAACCAAAGAAGAACAGAAGACTTAGTATCTAGTGTTTTTTGTAATGTATCTAGCTTCTGTAATGTATTGTACATGCTGCACATGTTGGGTGCTTTATTTTTTGCAAATGTATCTAGCTTCTATAATGTATTGTACATGATGCACATATTGGGTGCATTATTTTTTGAAAATGTATCTAGCTTCTATAATGCATCGCACATGCTCTGCACATATTGGGTGCATTATTTTTTGAAAATGTATCTAGCTTCTATAATGTATCGCACATGCTCTGCACATATTGGGTGCATTATTTTTGTGCAAATGTACCTAGCTTCTACAATATATTGCACATGTTGCACATATTGGGTGCATTATTTTAAAAGCAAATACATGTTGGGATCTTTTGATATAATTTCTTTATTTCCACTTGCAGGTATTTAATTCCTCAAATGCAATGATAACAAAACTAATAGAGTCTTAACACACACACCCATACACATATCAGTATACCATTGAATTGCAGGCATATATTTACAATAAATATTGAACTAAATACAAGTAATAGAGTCTTAACACACACCCATTCTACTTTTATGACCTGATGGCAACAGGTTTACATATACCAATTACAAGTGGAGCTATCCAATTCTTTATAAGAGCCAACTACAATTACAAGTTTTAGTACTGACAGTACAGGGACCAGACACCATCGATCCAGATGAATCAGATATTCTGGTCTAGCTATTCCAAATATATGCCTAAATTAAATGAAAGCTGTTTGCCTAAAATATATCTCGTTTGTTGTTCAATTTCTGCTTGGCTCTTTAATCTTTTGAATCAGCAGATTTGGAACAAGAAGAATTGGCCCAGTGTTGCTGTCTCTTTCCCTGTTTGCTATGTTTCTTTTGAAAAATTATTACCGATTACTTGGGCAGATTTTGTCATCCCCCTCTCACATAAAGTCTGCACCTCAAATAAATGAATTCGTTATGCATATGTGTCATCTCAAATATAAAACATCTGCATCAGCAAAGGAGCATGGCATGCACAGCACGAAAAACAACAAAATTGAATGTTATAAGGAGACTAGAACTATGAAAAGAAGCTTTAGGCGGAAAAATTACTGAGCAAGGGGCTTTAATGCATGCTTATGAAATTGGATGGGAGTAGATTGTACAATTTTAAAGTTGATATACAAATTTTGATTTGGGCAAAACTTAAAGGTGGTAAATTGTAATTTATCCTTAAAAAGTTGAGAGAGGATAAACAAATAAAGGAAAAATGTTGGTCGAATAAACCCAAACCAGCATTAAATCAAGTTGCAATTTGGAATCACTAAAATGGAAACTTGACAAGTAAAAGAAGAAAACTGATAGCACCAAGAGAATAGAAAGTACCTCTGAATAACCGGTAGCACCAAGAGAACAATCAAATAGGCATTTCACTGTTGGTCCTTTAGTACAGGGTCCCAAGGTATGGTCCACTAATTTTCATTAATGCAAGGCATAAACATATCCTTTATCATAATGTTCCAAGAAGAAAACTGATACGAATCAAGTGAATTAAAAGATAAAGATTCTAAAAAATACGAACCAAAATTATATGTTTAATAACCTAACTAGTCCTGCAATCTACAGAGGCAAAACCATAGTTTGACCTCGCACGTGCATTTTGAGTTGCTTCAATAGCAAAAATTTACATGTTCTTATGATGTGGTACCTCAAAAAATACCAATCGTTAAATTTTTTTATTTCTAAAGTAGTTTAGCTGCTAAAAAAGTGGATCCAAACTCCAACACTTACCCAAATTTTCAAAGGTAAAACCTTTCATTCAAGTAATTATTATGCTCCTCTATAAAGAATTGCTAAATAAAAAAAATTACAATTATTTTAGAACAACTTATTAAGGATAGGAAAGAACAATTGCTCAGTCACTATTATGCTAGTACGGTATTGTGCATATCCAGTATGAACAGGGGTTAGGTTGGGTCATTTATCAAAGTTCATATATAATTGAGCACCAAAGCAATCCCCCACTGTATATCTATCTATCTATCAACAAAAGTGAAGAAAAAAAATAAATGAATTGAATTGAATTGAATAATTCCACAATATTGTAGCCATATTAAATCAAATAAATAAATGCGGTAATGGTGAATACATGGGATATGAGGAGACTAGAACCATGAAAGAAGCTAACTGTAAAGCAAAATTGGTTAACATGTATGAAAATCTCAAACATGAGCGTACAAAAGCGAAAAAAGGAAAAAATTGATTAAGTAAAAGAGAAAAGTGACTACAACAAAATAAATAGATAAGCGAAAATGGGAAAGGAGCTTCGAAAGTCACCTTAAATTACAAATAAAATTGCTGAAAGGGAAATGGAAGAGAGATCCGAAACTGAAACTGAGACTAAAGCACAAGCAGGTCTGGAAGAGAACATCTTCATCGTTGTCATTACCTCCAAAATTTTCAATTATTTCAATTTTTTTGCGCCAACCCCCTTGGCTCTGTCCCAGTGCGCGAGGGAAAGAGATGAAGACTGATATGTGGGAACGAGATGGGGTTAAGAGAACATCTTCATCATTGTCATTATCTCCAAAATTTTCAATTATTTCAATTTTTTTTTTGCGTCAGCCCCCTTGGCTCTGCCCCAGTGCGCGAGGGAAAGGGATGAAGATTGATATGTGGGAACGAGATGGGTTAAGGTATTGTTATTCATTTACAAAACAACGCGGCTTGTAGATGACCGCATAAAATGTTAGATACAGTCACATTATATATAATAAACCCTATATATATATATATATATATATATATATATATATATATGGGGAAAAAAATTGAATAAAAAACATTTAAGTTTTTTTTTTTATTGTGAAATGCTTGGCTAAAGTTCATAGATATCTATGTTTTTTTTTTGTTCAAACAAACACTTGTTCCCTGACCCTGAACAAAATTAACCATATGATTAAGCTTGAATAACTTTCCCGTGAGGAAATCTGACCCTGAACAAATGTTCCTCCCCTGTGCATCTATCTACCTTCACAACCCAATGGTTTTTGATCTTCCCATTTCTGCTACCATATTTTGGTTTAGTGTCAGCTACTCCAAATCTAGTCACTAGCAGCCCTTCTCCTATTGGCAGGAGCTGATTATATTATTTTGTTGAATTCTTTTCTATGCTAACACCTCTGGTTCAGAAAATTAATTTTATATATGCAGGTTGTAATCTAGACTTATACAAGTGAACTCATGGAAAAGTGTGAAAATCTCGCCAAAAGTGTTGTTGAGACACAATCTCCAGGATCATCTACTGTTTTGGTTGCACGTTTTGATGGTCAGGTAAATGATTAACTATTATTTGAATTCACTATACATGACATGCAGTATGCCTATGTTTGAGTATAGGACTAACTATTGTTCAAATTTTTTCATATATTCAAGACGGATCACTCACAAATAACAACTATTGAAGACATTGACATGAGTGAGAGTTTAATATATTGTGATAAGGTTGTTGATTTGGAGAAAGACAATGATGATTTTGGAGAATATGATCAGTGTCAAACTATGGAAGACGAAGATGGTGATTGTAGGGAAGATAACGTGCATGAAATTGTGGGAGCTGATGATATTAGCTTCACGGATACCCCTATTTTGGGTAGAGTCTTTAAGACAACAGAAGAAGCTTATGACTTTTATAACGATTATGCAGAAAGTAAAGGATTTGGGATACGTAAGCACTGGTGTAACAGGAATATAAAAACACAACAGCCATATAGGTGGAATTATGTATGCTCAAAGCAAGGTGTGAAACGACTTCATGATAAGAGAATTGATGTTGACAATGTCAAAAGGCGAAGAGAAACAAGGACTGATTGTTCAGCGATGCTACAAATAAAGTCGGTTAATGGATCATGGGTTGTGGAAAAATTCAATGATACACACAACCATCCATTGATTAACACTCCTACAAAGGTGAAGAAGTTTTTTTCTCATAATGATTTACGACGCTCAGGCATTACTAAGTCGTTGGTTTCTAAGCTTTATCAGGAGGGTTTAACATCTTCAAAAATCTCAAAGGTGGTTAACACTATGAACGAAGATGTTAATATTACTCCAATTCAAATTAGCACTATTATATCAAGCCAGAGACATAGTAATGTAGGCCGAGAATGCCAGGGCATTGTCAAACACTTTCAAAGGAAGTCTGTTGTTGATAGAGATTTTTATTTTGATATGCATCTAGCGGATGATGGTACATTAAGAAGTGTCTTCTGGGCGGATGGTAGGTCAAGAGCTGCATATGCCCAATTTGGTGAAGTCCTTGTGTTTGATGTGACATACAGAACAAACAAGTTCAAGTTTCCTTTTGCCCCTTTCGTGGGTGTTAATCACCATGGGCAATCAATTTTATTTGCTGCTGCCTTGTTAGAAGATGAAACAGAAGCAACCTTTACTTGGTTGTTTGAACAATTTCGAACATGTATGTTTGATAGGTCTCTGGTTGCTATTATAACTGATCAAGACAAAGCTATGGGAAAATCAATTGCTAAGATATTTCCAGGAGCTCGACATCGTTTTTGTGCATGGCACCTGAAAAAACATGTTATGGAGCATAGTCAAGCACTTCGCGCACAATTTAAAGATAGTTTTGATGTTGATATATGTGTTTTCCTCTTTAAACTTGATGAAAATTTTATTATGCTTCACTTGTAGATGGATGCTGCAAGAGAGAAGCAACAGGAATACTAGCTGTGGGATTGTCAATTTGTACAGATCCTTTAGTACTAGTCTGTATAAAACCTTTTTGGAAATGGATGTTTTGCTAGTTGAGTTTCACAGGACCTGCCTATACCCCTTCTCACTTTGATGAATCACATCAACAGCAATCAGAAGTCCTTGAACAGGTAGCAGCTTGATTTTTGGAGTTCAAGCCAGTTCTTAGTGCTACTGGTTCTCTTTTAAATTGAGAGCAGATACTCTATCATTTTCATGTTAAGTGTTTTATGATGCTGATTTCTGGTGTTCAGAATCGCTAGATGTTTGTGAGTTTATAGATGATGATACAAGAATCTATTTTGATTTATTGGTCCATAACATGTAATGCATGTCTTATACGACATGTCATTTTAATTTATTCTTGTAACTCAACCTTTAATATCTGGCATAGATATTTATATTCTGTACTGTCATTGATAATCTTCCACATTTTACCTGAAACAAAGGTTAAGGTTTTTGCCTTTAATAGTCTATATTTCGATAATGCACTGGATATTGAAAGAATCTATTTGAGAGCACGTAACTGTATCTGTACGCTGCCTGTACTGAAAGCGGAAGATTTAGGAAAAGTTTGTGTCTTCTGTAAACATGAACCACAAGGAATTGAGACTCATTGATAATGAAATTTCTGTATTGATGGATTCCTTCTTCGAAAGAATGAAATGCAGTTTCTGCAACATTATGCTATTCTCTAGTAGAGAATACAAAATTCTAACAATACCTGTACAGCTATACCAATACATACTGATTTAGTGCTGAAGTTGTTAAATTCTCTACTAAAATCTAGAGCCCAAAAAACAAGTTACATATCTTGTCTCTTATACAATAAAAAAAGGAAAAAAATTCAAAAGTTCATCACTTCGGAAGAAAGGTTAAGTAAAGGCTCCAATGCACTATGACCAAACTTGCGAGCAAAGAGGTAACAAACGGATGTCATGTCTGAATTATATCGACAAAGGGATCCATTTTTCCTTATAGCTTGTATAAAACCCACTGTTATGTTGTCTCCCCCATAGGTTGCTGGATGAGGACCCAGCATTGACCAATCAACCCATGTCACTGTTCTGTTTGAATTAAGCGAACCGTGGAACATATTCAGGAAGGTTGGAATGTAATGTTCATCCGGGTAGCAACCTGAACAAGACATGTAAAACACAAATCATAAGAATCTATCAGAATTCAGACAAATAAATTTGACTGCAGTGTTAAAAGAAATGCCAGATTGCTTATAATACACTGGGGGGGGGAATACTCTCTATTTTCATAGATGACAAAGGCACCGTTTAGATAGAAAGAAAGAATATGTATATAAGGAGGTATAGACTTCTTTAAACTTGATGAGCATCAGTCCTTGACAAACAACATCAGTGTGTAGTTTATCATTTAACTAAATGAAAGAAATAGGTAGATGAAGATGCTTGTTACGAGTGTCTACTCCAACTACATCATTAAACATATGTACATCACATCAATCTAGAAAACAAAATATCAACGTGGTTAGATGAGAAACTCTGCTTATATTTTTAAATAATGAATGTGATTGATTATAAATTTTAGGGAATTATCACTGCTATTTGACATATCTTAAGAAAATCTGAACCCTTTATACTTTCCCCTCCACATATTGTTCAAAATTCACAGATCAAAGAACCTACTTCTATATCTCATCATCTTATGCTAGAAACACGTATTTGAAGCCATAACCTCATATTTTGTTCCAGAATTTTATTACATGTCATTGTTAACTATTACAACAACGAATTAAAGTATCCATCAACATTTACTAATCCCACCTGCAAGTTGTGGAATGTCAAATCTAGCAAGGCTAATAGCTCAACTAAACTTCTCAAGGATCCCAGCAAAATGGTACAAGTCATATACCGGTTTATCATGAATCCCAAGTTGAGCCCAAGTTATGACTTCAAGAAGCTCCTCTAGAGTCCCATAACCGCCTGCATTTAACTTGCATAAGTTTTTCAAGAATTTAAAGCAAAAATATAAGCTAGGCTACCCATGATTGAGATGATATTGATAAAAGGAACACAAAGATAAATTGATTTTTCTTTTCACTTATGTTTAAAAACAAGTTTCACTCTTCATTTCCACCATGGTGTCTTTTTCTCCACAAGTTTAGGATTAACTAATCTATGTTGGATGCAAGTGGTATTTACTATTTACTACTCTCAGCTTTGTGGAAGCGTTCAAATGCCATTATGGATATCTTAACATGTAGAGAGGTCATTAAGGTAATCTATTGATTATGTCTTCCCACCCTCCCTCTTATTTATTCATGAGCTTGGGACAACATACTTGCAAGACATTAAGCATGTAAGCACTTAAGTGCTATCCCTAGGGAACAAGTGTTTGTTTGAACAAAATAAAAGCATAGATATCTATGAACTTTAGCCAAGCATTTCACAATAAAAAAAAGTTAAATGTTTTTTATTCAATTTTTTATCCTTTGTAAATCAAGTTTGTTTGTATAGATTCCAATAAAATAAAGTTCCCAATCACAAGTAATTATCTTTGAAACTACCGGTATGAACTTGATTGTAAGGATACTAAAGAAACCCCAATTTTCTCTAATTATAGAACATGATTCTCTACGCTAGACCTAAGAAAACACAAAGCGGGGATAAGAAAAGCAAATAAATAAGTAACAAAATGAGATCAAAATTTTTTTACCTACCGGTGGTGGAGGGGAAGGGCTGCCGGCGATGAAGGAGAAGAACGCTCTCAAGACGGAAAGAAAGAACACAAGTAGCAAAGGAGGAGAAGAGGGAAAACGTTCATCGCTATTCTGCCGTTGAAGAAGATAGAATCTTAGGAAACAAAGTATTTTTTTCTTAATTTTTAGACCAAAACGACGTAGTTTTACTTAGTTGTAGAGAAGCTTATCTACAGCAGTTGTAGAAATAATTTCCCCTATATATATATATATATATATATATATATATATATAATGACATTTTTCAATAATAATAAATTATTAATCCTAACAATTAGTCCCTCTCGCTGAAATACTTGTATTAGTTAACACTTCTATAAGTCAAAATAATATTTATATTTTTAATTTTTAATTTTTGCTCCCTATCATAAAAATTTCTAAGGCTATCGTTGATGGTCATGTGAAATTTTTGTGTTTATCTCTCTGTTCACATGCATTAAATATGTGTGGTTCAATTATCATTAATAAAGACATAAATAGACACAAAAATTTCACATAACGAAGTCATATAAAATTTTAAGATGGTTTGAACATGGGAGGATTATTCCCCTGCATAATTGTTCACAACCTCTTCTTCAATAATATTATGAATAAAAAATATGTTGTAAGTGACATAGAATATGCGACTCATATGCACTAATGATATTAATAAATAAAAAACTTTTTACGTAAAATTAACATTATATTATATGGTTCAGATTAAAAAAATACATTTTAAGGTTTTAATTCATTTATTTATATTTATACTGAATAAATATATAATTTTGTTATTTAAAGATTTACTTGTGTTATTATATGATTTAATATAAATTTAGATCAATCAATAAAATGGTGGAATCAATCACGGTACGAATTTAATAACATTAAAGTCTCCTCTGACTTCACTCAATCGCGGACCTGTGTTATTGCAAGTGACTGCAAGTGCAGTCATAAATTTTTGAAAAAAAAAGAAACTGCAATCAGATATCACGACATATTATTCATAAAGCATGTTGCTTGTACATGTACATCCCATAAAGATACGTTCATCACATAACTTATGTTCATCATTCCATCATATAAAGTTATGTTCATTAGAAAAAAATGAATATGCATTTGGAAATAATATGTATTTCAATAGTCAAACCGACATAAGAAAGCATTGTTACAAGAGATATTCATATTTAACTTTGTCGACATGTAGATAAAATTATGCTACTGTTGGAATTTTTATCGTAAACATAGATTTCTAGGACCATTCTAGCCTTTGTTATTATAATAATTAAAAAAATTAATTTTATTTAAAAAAGTTAAAAAGGAAAATATTATGAAAGTGGAATTACAAAATAAATATTTCATCCTTATTTGAGGAGTAAAAGAGGAACACTGTAACATAAATTGTCTCTATAACAATTCCTAATGTGTTAATGGTGACGAGTGCAAATTTCCTTTTATTTTTTAATGCATTTAAAATTTTCTTTAAAAAAAAGTTCGAGGACTGCCACTAAATGTGTAGACATAAATAAAATTTTTTGGATCCGCCATTGACTTCACTGACGATCTCTTTCATTCAAAGTACAAACCTAATAGATTTGATGAAAAATCATCCAGCAACAACAATACTCCAACAATATCTTATGATCTAAACAATTCATACACTGATTAAAATAAACAAACACACAAAGTAGAATGCTTATAGCAACCATGTAATACAAATACATGGAGTATAAGGTAAATCATGCTTAAACCTCCACTTTCATTACTAGAAAAGGCTATTTTTTTTACGGAATTTATCGATGGAAAAAATTTTGTTAAAATTATTGACAAAATTTTCAATCGAAAACGTATTCCGTCTCTATTATGGAATCCGTTTTGTTATTATCATCGACAAAATTTATTTTCTGGCAAAAATTTTAACAAAAAAATATTGATTTTGACATTATGAAAAACCTTAAATTTCGTCTATGCAAGAATGCAAACATATATAATTGTTTATGGTATTGTAAACAAATATTCCTTGATTAATGCTACAATAATGGATCAAGAGCCGGACCCCAATATTCCTAAAAGATCCATAATTCCACTACTGCCAGATAACTATCTATAAATAAAGGGTTAAGTCAATAAGGTACTGTTGTGAACAATCGGCAAGTGTACCTATAACACCTCACAATTTTAAATTAAGTGTTTAAACTAGATTGAGTGAAAATCCTGAGTATAAGGCCAAAATACAAAGAAAGGGCAAAACGGTAATTAGCCAACACGCAACTCTAGGAAGATAAAAATTGAGTAGAAGGTCTCAGATGATAGAAATAACCCTGGAAATGGATTCAGAACGAAAAATTGAGTGGACAGGCAAGTTTCAGAAAAATTAGTGAATAGTGTTTTTCGCGTGTAAAAATAATGCGGTACAATTGCACCGTAAAACGTGCCAGTTGAGTTTTGAGCTCTAGGTTTCAAATATGAGTTATAAATGGTCTATAGAACTAGGAAATATGATTTCTGATAATATTTGATAGAATTAAGTCAGTTTGGGGAAGCGTGCCAACGGCGCCCGCAACAGCTTAAAACAATATTTTCTCCGAACGACCGGAAAACTCCGGATTCATCTGATCAAGTATAATTAAAGGACTTTGGTGAATGTTTAATTTTTCATTTTATAAATAGGTTGTGAAATAATCGAAGACTAGTGGTGAGATTAAGTGAGTTTAAGTGAGGTGGCACTTGTGGGACCCACCCCCACTTAAATGACCATTTAAGCACATGTGAAAATCAGAATTTGGAACTCATCCCCTTCATTTTTCAGCTGCAAATTCGTGGGTCTCCATGGTTAGGGTTTTGAAAACTTCAAACAATTGTAACTTGAGTTCTAGGCCACCAAATTGAGTGGTTCCAAAGCCTAACTCACTTGAAATTTCGCAAGGAATCCATTTTTGTCCTTATTTTCGAGTTTGGTGCAGTGTAGAGGGAGATACTTCCCATTTTCAGTTGCGAAATATTGAAGTATTTTGGGGATTTTGGTGGATTGGAAGCTCACTTTGGTTCATTAGTTGCTTGAAGATCATTCCCTTGGACCTTAGGAGTTGTTTTGTGGTGAGTTTCTCCAATTTTCATTGAGTTTTTATTTGGATTGAATTTGTGACATAGAGTGGGTTGTTTGGATTGATGTAGTTAGAGAGCTCAAATTGAAATTTTGTATTAGACAAATGTGGCTTAGAATGATGTTTTAGAGTGATTGATGATTGAGGAAAAAATGATTTAACTTACGCAAATTTTGTGTTCATGAGCAAGACTTTATGAATTGGAATTTTGGTGTGATGAGATAATTGAGTTGTGGAGTAATTGTATGAGTTAATAGTAAGATTGTATGATGTATGGAGTTATTAAATTGAATTGGATACCTTTGGTATGATGACTTGATGAATTCGGCCATTGGAGGGTAGTTGAGGTTTGATGTTGTGAAATCATGCAATTGATGTGTTGTGTTATTAAATGGTGTTTAGATGAGTTGTGGGTTGAGTGGATGCATGGAAAATTAAAGGAAAAATGTTTGGTAGTGTTGAGTGGTTAATTGGACCTAGAGCAAAATATTAGGCAAAACGACGTTTGAATGACGAAAAAGGAAAAATGGCACTTGATATGGCCTTTTGGTAGCCTAAGGATGCCTAAGAAAATGAGAAAGAAAATTTAGAAAAATAAATTGTAGATTAACACTATAGAGGCCGAACCTACATGATGTAGGGGAGGTTTTTTGATGTTTCGCGTTTTGACGTAATTTGACGTACACTGATGGTTGTACGTGGTTGTATAGGTTGTCGTACGTCGACTTGAACCCTGAACAGTGAATCAGTGGATTGCCCTTGGTCCTGGACCAAGTGGATTGAGGTAAGAAATTGGTTCAATGCATGTATAATTGTAAATTAGTATGTATTGTTTGAATTGTGAGTGATTGGGAATGTCGTCTGTGTAGGAATTCTGCTGTGTACCAAGTTGAAGGATAAGCTGCTGCGGAGCTTGTGAGAAAAATAATTAAGGTAACCTCTTGGTACTGGGGCTTGTTCCCCTTTTCTGTTCCACCTTGCCAGTTGATGGCAACGGTAGGAAGTGTATATGAGTAGTGTAGAACACATGAGCATGCATGCATTATTACAATGGGTACTTATGTACCGAGTCTCTGGCCAGTAGACAGTTTTTCTTAGCCTTCGGGCAGTTTCAGACTTCCACTGGATAGGTCTCCGAGAGGGAGTTCCAGTTGACCGTGGGTCATGTTGTGTGATCCGGGTAGGAGCACACTAGGAATGTCTCTGGCGTTTTGGATGGTTGGGGCATCATGGTTGTGGTTTTTGGAACGCACCTTGGATGATACTCATAGGCTTATATATGCCCAGGGCGTGCGTGGTATTGGTAGCTACCATCCCGTATCGTCGTAGTTTGTATCTCTATATTCCCCATTTTTCTAAAACCCTTGCTATATCCCGTTTTAAAAAGTGGTTGTTGTATTCTATTCATATGCATCGAAGTGAACCATTGGGCGGAGTTTTCTCCAGAACCTTTGGGTTACTGAGATATATTCGTATATCTCACCCCGTCTCGGGGCATTTATTTCAGGATGTACCTGTGGCGTTGGAGCAGCGGGCAAGAGGCCCGCAGAGTGATAGAGGAACGTTTTCAGTATTTGGCATATTGTTCATGTTGGCATGCCTAAGTCTAGTAGTTTGTATCATTTGAACTTATGTTTGGATTTGTAATTGAAGTTGTAATATTGTAAAGGGTAATTTGAAGTTGAAGTTGTAAGTTGTAATATTTAAGTATATGTTGTAAATGTAAAAGAGATGCATGATGTACCAGGATGGAAGGAATTTAGGCCTGTTAGAGTTATGATTATATGCTTATATTGTGAAATTACATGTAAAGGGGACCTTTGTGATTGAAACAAGCAAGGATTATAATGTGAGTTATATAGTATAAACTGTGTAATAAATATAAACTAGATTGGGTTGTAAGTGCCCCAAGGTGTTGTTAGTCCTTGTGTGTGCCACCCATTGGATTATTACTGTATTATTGTTGGATTATTAGGTACTTTGAGGCATTAGTGAGCTTGTACCAATTTGGGGATTATTGGAAAAACAAAGGAAACTCTGGCGAATTTTCTGTAGAATTGGCAGATTTTAGGCGAACTTCGAGAGAGCATATCTCCCTCT